CATGAAGCACTTAAATAATAAATAAGGATTTCATTTCATAACGAACTAAGTACATGCAGTCACAAATTGGCTCAAAAATCAGTACAATGTTTCAATTGTTCCCTTACAATTGATTCTTTACTCTTAAGGAATGGAAACAACTGAATGGCTATAGCTATGTCCTGCTTTCTGGTTAGCCAGTCCTTGGTTAGTAATTTGCAATTTTTTAGCATTTCAATTCAAGGCTAGATTAACCGCTGCTAGCTCATCTTTTAGTTGGGCTTTTTTCTCCAAAAGTTGAGGTTAAAACTAGGGGCATAGGAATGTTGCCCCTTTAATTCAAACATCTTAGCATGAATATGGGAGACAAACTCCTTGTCTTTCAGCAGTTTCTCTTCTGCAACTCTGGCCATCTGGCAGATATTGACATAAAAATCTAAGGTGGCTGTTGCTTGGGATAAGTGACTTGAGAAGGTCATGTTGGATTGCTCGAACACTTTGCAGCATTTAAGGAAACCATTTTTAATTATAGGCTTTTGTAAGGCTTCAAATGGAATCCTTAAGAATGAGTACAACAGGTCCAAGTAAGTGCCCAAGTCCACCTAAGGCAAAGAAGCTTCAGTAATAGTTGAGAAGCTCTCAATAATTTCCAAGAGAGAGTTTGCAAGGACCAATGGCTCAGTCTCACTGCTTGGTGCTCGAACTGGTAAAGATATGCCAAATAAGTTGGCTAGTTGAGCCTCGAAGATGTCCAGTTCTTCCTCTAACATTGGCAATACAGAAGAATCACTAGTTGAAGGAAGAGATGGAAACCTAGGGATAAGAGAAGGAGTCAAGGTTTTAAAAAGCAGCTGCAACCGTTACGTAACGCCGTTAGGTAATGGTTTTGGGCAACTTTCCGTTGCCACGAGCCGTCGTGAGACGCCATTCAAACTAGGGGCAACTTTCCGTTGCCTCCCACCCTCTTTCAAACCAGGGGCAATTTTTCGTTGCCCCCGATCCGAGGTTGCGCATCTCGAAGGGTAAGTTCCATGCTCGTTGAGCATTGACTGTTTGAAAAATAGTTTTTGAAAATTTTTACTGAGGTTGACTATTTTCTCGAAAACTATTCCATTTTCCAAAATCGGACCATTGTCTTGGACCCAAAAAGGAAAATTTTCAGTACTTGCAGCCTAACTCGCACGGTTTTCAAATAAAAAATCGAACAAGTACGTTTATCCGACTCTCGTTTTGATCAAAACCGTTTTAGTAGAAAGGAAAAACGAAAAAATGGTTAAAATGATGAACTAGGGGCACAGTTGAGCCAGGCGTTCTGTCTCTCCCCCGTCACCGACGTACTTGCCAGAATAGCGCTCTACCCATCAGAAGAAATGGCCGTGAGTTAACGGTGTTGGGCGTGAACCCACACCTTTCTATTTATCCATCAATCACCCCGGGGAGGGATGAAAAATGAGAGAATGAAGAATAGAGAGGTGTAAGTTGAGAGAAAAGTGAGGAAAAGGGTTTTGAGAGAAAATCCGAGCTTGAGAGTCGAGTGATGTGAGGATCACAAATGAGAAAGGGTGGGAAACAATACCCAGATTGAACTGGCTCCTCGTGGTCCGAGGTCTCCCATCTTCGTTTACGCGTCTGTGTGTCGTGTCTCTTTCATTTGACGGTCTCGTCTTTTGTTTTGAGTCTCTCTCGAGCGTGTCTCGTTGTGTTTAGGTCGTGTACCTCTTTGTTTGAGTCCTCCCCGCTGTGTTCAGTTGTAGGCTCGATATCCCGGTTTGAAAAACCCTCATTCGATTTCAAAAATCGCTTATGCTCAGAATGCCATGCCATTCTCGACATTCGAATGTGTTCTGACTCCAACCAGTTTCATCTTTGAGGTGCGTCTTGTCAGATTGGGCTGTTTTGTTTAGAATTGCTGTATGCAGAATGAATCGAATGTTGTGTTATGGGCTGTGTGCAGACTAATCCCCAGTAGAGCAAGGGCCATGTATCCAGAATCAGGCAGTGGGTTGCTTGGGTTATTTTGCTGTTGGCTGTTTAGTTATCTGATTATTACCAGTGCAGCGTTTAACTTTCAGACAACCAATCAATTTCATTTACATTGAGGTGTAACATGATGAGATGCGATGCAATGCATGAAATGTGTCAATGTAAACACTTTTTCAGATAAAAAGTCCGTTTCATTTCATTATCTTTTCAAATGTACAAGTTTTGGAAACAAAAATCTGCCTGCGGCAGTACAAGGTAATCTATCTACCAACAAAAAGAAAAGTACAAGAAAGAAAGAAAAGATAGCAAAAATCTGCATCCATGTCGAGCACTCCGGGGGGCCGTCAGTTCGTCCTAGTCCTCTTTCTGGACGAGGGTCCAGGAGCATCATCAGCGTCGTCGTCAGAGCCCGATCTCCTCCTCCGATGACTCTGCCTCCGCCTCGGACTCCTCGTCGTCGTCATCATCCGGGACTGGAGCCCGCGAGCTACTCCCGACGTGAGTACGCCCTCCCCTGGTACGGGGAAATATCCTACCCTCCTCATCTCTCCCCCGAGCAGGGACAGAAGGTCTGGCTGGAGCACCTCCTGCCATGGGAATCTGGAAAGGAGGCTGAAAAAGTATACAAAAGGGAAATGCATCAGTACGCTGTGAACAGTTTAAAGGTGCAGAATGCAGTGTGTGAATACAGTGTATGAATGCCGTGAGCAGTTTATCAGTGCAGAATGCAGTGTGTGAGTACAGTATGAGAATGCCGTGAGCAGTTTATCAGTACAGAGTACAGTGCAGAATGAAGTGTATGCAGTGTATCAGATGCTGTGAGATCAGTGTGTCAGGTGTTGTGCCATGAATCAGATTACGTAAAGCAGTGGATGAATGGTTTGAGGCCAGCGTCAGAAGGACATACCGGTATGCTGTAGACGGCTAGGAGGTCAATTGTCCGCTGGAGCATCCCCATCATCGAGGCATTCATCGCCAACGACTGACGGGTGTACTCAGAAGAAGCCTGCAAAAGTATCAGACGCATCAATATTCTGTGGAATATCAAATAAACTGAAATGACATAACTGTACAAAATGCAGTAGAACATACCGGCGGTAAGTCGGGGACGTCAATGAGCTCGTGACCAGCCGGTGGAGGGGCGAAGGGGATCTGATAGGTCGACCCACCCTGCCCCTGGAAAGTCAGCACAGCGGGCAGGGCAGGCCACCCAGCTCCTCGTCCACCCCGCCAGGCCTGTAGCATCGGCGGCTGGGGCCGGAGCGGGAGCAGGGGCTGGATCTTCGAGGAGGGCCCGGGTCCGTGGCAGGGGCGGAGTGCAGGGAGGACGAGGAGTTGGCTGGCCTGCCCTGCCTGCTGTACTGACTGTATAAACATTGCATCTACATTTGCATTGTTTATACATTGTTTTGTATATATTACATATCGTCTTGCATCCGTACTCCTGATAGTCGCCGGTGCCTCGGAAGCCGGCCTCCTCCCAGCCGATGGAGTAATCATCCAGCTGCTCAGGGGTCAGCCCCTCGGTCTCCCTCATCTCTGCAGGAGGGTGAGCCGGGACTATCTGCTCAGGTAACCCGCGGGTCTGGCGTAGAAAACGCTCCCCCAGGTACCAAGCCCGACAGACCGGGCCCTCCAGCAAGATCCGGAAACGCGAGGTCTCCTCAGCACCAGGGAACCGACCCCGTATCGCCGACGGCAGGGAAGCCTATGGTCGCCATGTGATCTGAAAATGACAGACAGTTTGTTATCTACTGTTATTGAAATATGCAGTGGGAAAGCGAAGCTAAATGAACTGAAAGTAAAGCATACCTCGGCCGGGGTGATGGTGTCAAAATATCGGCGGAAGAAGCCAAATGTCTCCCGTGGTCGCCGGGTGCATCTCCCGTCGAAGCGACTCGAGAACGGGACAACCGGAGGAGGCTCCGCGACTGGCACGGGTGCAAGCCTAGGAAAGTAGGCGTAAACCCACAACTGCAAAACAGATGTCAGTAGGACCATCAGATAAAGCAGAATATGCAGAATGAAGCAAGAATGGCAGAGCCGTGTTTTGTATTGTGTACAACGGGACAGCCGGAGGAGGCTCCGCGACTGGTACGGGTGCAAGTCTAGGGAAGTAGGCGTAAACCCACAACTGCAAAATAGATGTCAGTATGACCATCAGAAAAAGCAGATTATACGGAATGAAGCAGAAATGGCAGAGCCGTGTGTTATGTAGTGTATTGTGTGCGGTATACAGTGTGAGCAGTGTACAGTCAATGTAAAGCAGAATGTATGTGTGTGCCATGTGTACAGTATACAGCAAGTATAGAGCAGACCACAGTGTGTGCAGTGTACTGAGTACAGAAAGCACGAGACAGGAATGAAAAAGTGGACAAGAAATGTACCTCCCAAGCCCGCCAGTAACCTCCAAGCAGCTGGCCGCTGCCACGAGAAGCCGAGCTCATATATCCGTACAAGGTGGCCAGAGCAGCGCCGCCCCAATCGTAGTGCAGAATATCTCGGACGTCCACCTGTGCACTGAGAAGGCAGAGAGGCACGGTGTTCGCCCGGTCGGCGAAGATAGTAGTCCCGAACAGGAACATGAGGAAGCCGCGGGCATACCTCTCCACGTCCTCCTCGGTCATCTGAGTCTCCTCCCCCAATGCGGGCTGGACCCTGAACTGTGCCTCGAACCAGGAATATCAAACAAAGCCTGGATGAGCTAGTGGTGGGGCCTCCCCCAGTAGATGGACCTGAGCGGCGGTCCACTCATCCATGTCGGTGTCGAAGGGGATCGGATCACCCCCTACCCCGATGCCTGTGAGCATCGAGAAGTCATAAGGGGTCATCGTCATATCCCCTGCAGCAGAAAAATGGAAAGAATCGGTGGTGTCCCACCATCTCTCCGCCAGAGCGGCAAAGAGAGGCCTGCAAGTGGAGAGCCTAGAGAGTCCTCAGCAGAAGGAGCCGAAACCCGCTCGGTCCACGATGCGTCGGACCGCATCAGGGAGCTCATCATACCACTCCCGTGCACCAGTATTCCCATACCCGCGAATGGTATGAGAACCCTCCTGTAAACAGAAAATGGCAATTGCAAGACAACATTCAAAATGCAGTTTTGAAAGGACAGATATGGCATGTATGCAAGTTTGTCAGATTCAGGCAAATACCGGGTGCCGGTGTGCTTACGATGAAATACGTGTGCTGTGTCAGCGTGTTTGAGTGTTTCAGAACAGATATGGCATGTATGCAAGTTTGACAGATTCAGACAAATAATGGGTGCCAGTGTGTGTGCAGTGAAATACAGTATGTGCCGTGTGTTTGGGTGATCCAGGGCTAGTGCAGTGTGTGTGCATGTGTCAGTCTCAAGCAGATATCAGTTGTATGTATGTTTACAGTCAACTACGGTCTACGGCATATCAGATTTCAGCAATTAAAGAATACAGCTAACTGTGGCAGTTTTGTATCCTACGTTGCAGAAAGTAAAGCAGAAGATGAAGAGTTACCTCGGAAGTACCGAATGAAAGGTGGGAGGTAGGCTCGCGTAGTAGTAGCTCAAGCGCCGCGTACCTCTCAAAGCTCCGGAACTGATGCAGGCCGTCTGGGGGCAGAACGTGGATCGTCGGCCGGTAAGTCGCCGTGTCGCAGGCCGTCTGGGGGCAGAACGTGGATCGCCGGCCGGTAGGTCGCCGGGTCGAACGGGCGCTCGCTCAGTGGTAAGAGCTCGACCCCGGGATCCATCTCGTGGTCCGGGGGAGTCCCGCCACGTGGAATGTCGTCCGCCATGTAGAGAGTGGTGTGAAAATGGCCGGAAAAGGAAAACCGAGCCGGAATACGAAGAGTCAACTGAAAAGTCAACTCCCGAGAGGGTCGGAAATGGCCGGGAAGGCCGGAATGTGAAAGGACACGGAAATGAAGAGGAAAGTGAGGGGAACAAACCCCGAGAAGGCGAGAACGCCGAACGAGGCGCCGAAACGAGAATGTGATCGGTGGAAAATGTCCGAAGCGCGAAGAGAAACGCGAATCCGACGACGAAACGGGCGTAGAACGCGAAGAAACGGGCGAAAAATGAGATAGAAGCACTCTAGAGAGAGAGAGAGCAAAGGTTTTCGGCGGTGGAGAAATGAGAACGGCGGTGGAGAATGAGAAAATAGGGTTTAGAACCCTATTTTATAACACCCGAGGTGAAAAGACAAAACTGCCCCGCACTAGCAACTGTTTGCCGGTCGGCAATGTTTTGTGCCGGCCGGCACTTTTTTTGTGCCGATAGAATTGTTTTTGTGCCGATGGCCAGCCGGTGGCCTCCCCTTTCGGCCGGTGGGGTTCCCACAGCCTTGGTTAGGCCATGTGAGAAGTTTGTGGTCTTCATAGCTCAAGAAAGTGCAAGAAAGTGCATCTCCGACGTTCAACCGACCTCCGTTTTGACCGCGGGCCGTGTCTCCAGTGCGTGGCACTCGAATTCGTGCAAGGTGTATCCTTTTTGTATCCTTTTAAATTCAAAAGTTGCCCCATGTGTGTTGCACGAACTCATCACACTACTTCGGTGCATTACATCGCGCTGTCACGCGCCACACATTTGCATTGTTATGCACGTGTTACATGCGTTGCAACACGCACCCCTTTGCATTGTCGTGCACATTTCTCATGCATCATCATTGCATTTCCATTCCATGCATTGCATCGCACTGTCTTGTGCATTTCAAATCGTCGCACTGTTTTGTGCATTTCAAATCGTCGCACTGTTTTGTGCATTGCATTCCGTCGCATTGTTTTGCGCATCTCATTGCATTTTGCATTGTCATGCATGTTTAATTCCATTACCTGCGTAGACCGCATGTTTTGATGGCGTAGACCGCATGTTTAATTCCATTACCTGCGTAGACCGCATGTTTTGATGGCGTAGACCGCATGTTTAATTCCATTACTTGCGTAGACCGCATGTTTTGATGGCGTAGACCGCATGTTTAATTCCATTACCTGCGTAGACCGCATGCTTAGTTTTGTCACCTGCGTAGACCGCACGTTTAATTACATTACCTGCGTAGACCGCATGTTTTGATTGCGTAGACCGCATGTTTTAATTGCGTAGACCGCATGTTAATTACATTACTTGCGTAGACCGCATGTTTTGATTGCGTAGACCGCACGTTTAATTTCAATACCTGTGTAGACCGCATGTTTTGATTGCGTAGACCGCATGCTTTGATCGCGTAGACCGCATGTTAATTACATTACTTGCGTAGACCGCATGTTTTGCTTGCGTAGACCGCATGTTAAATTTCATTACCTGCGTAGACCGCATGTCTTGATTGCGTAGATCGCATGTTTAATTTCATTACTCGCGTAGACCGCATGTCTTGATTGCGTAGACCGCATGTTTAAATTTCATTACTTGCGTAGACCGCATGTTTTGATTGCATAGACCGCATGCTTAATTTCATTGCCTGCGTAGACCGCATGTTTTGATTGCGTAGACCGCATGTTTTGACTCGCGTAGACCGCATGTCTTGATTGCGTAGACCGCATGTGTAATTTCATTACTTGCGTAGACCGCATGTTTTAATTGCGTAGACCGCATGCTTAATTCCATTACCTGCGTAGACCACATGTTTTGATTGCGTAGACCGCATGTTTTGATTGCGTAGACCGCATGCTTAATTCCATTACCTGCGTAGACCGCATGTTTTGATTGCATAGGCCGCATGTTTTACCTGCGTAGACCGCATGTTTAATTCGATTACCTGCGTAGACCGCATGTTTTGCTTGCGTAGACCGCATACTTGTTAATTTTAATACCTGCGTAGACCGCATGTGTTAATTGCGTAGACCGCTTGTTTGTCTTGTCACCTGCGTAGACCGCATGCTTATGATCAATTTTGTCGCCTGCGTAGACCGCACGCCCCACTTACATGTTTGTATTTCCACAGCATTGTTATGCTCCCCACTTGTTTTGCGCTGTCACGTATTTCGAGTACACCACTATTCCTGCATTGTCATGCATGTTGCTAACAATATTGTACCTGTTACGTTTGTTTTCTTTGCAGGCACGATATTGTATGTACGGTTCATTTGAGGCTGGTGCAACCAGACGAGCCGCACAGGTATTGTATCTCCCGAGTGAGACGTATTGAGAATGGCATAATTCTCTTACATCCTTTCTGCATTATAGTGTCATTGTAGTGTAGTTTGGTCTGTGCTAGCTTGAAACTGTCGCATGTGTGCTTCATTACGATTTTCTTTGCATGATTATAAGTTATGTTCGGCTCCGTGCATTGTCTTGCATTTTGCCCCTGCCTTCAGGCGCATATCTTGATTGTCTTGCATGTTTGTTTGAGTCTTCGGCCTTGTCAAAAATGGGTCGTCTCTGGGCTTTGACATTCACTCCCATCATTGTTATGACTTTCGAGTTCTGTCAAAGAGGGGCAACTGTAGACACCCCATTTTTGACCATCCTCAAGACTTCGACGTCATCGTTTGAACACTCGATGATTATCCATGTTCGTGTTCGTCTTGAGTTCTCGGAGGTTTCGGCCGCACACCTTGCCTCAAGACCTCTCGACTTGTCTATTTTGTGCTTGGTTGTGGACCAGGCACTTGGGTTTTTGCCTCTGAGGGTAGGACCCATCACCGGCCGTGGATTGAGGCCATCGGCTGTGTTTTGTGGCCACCGGCCAAATGTTTGGCCGGCCGGCACTATAGATAGCCGGTCGACTATCTTTTTTTAGTCAATTGCATCTTTGGCCGGCCGACTACTGTGCATCTGCTTTTGCAGATATTTTAACACAGCTGTCTTACATTTGGCTCCCCTCCACATGGAGGGATCTCTCTCTTTAGAAGCTTGTCTTGTAAGCTTTACAAGACAAAAAGCTCTATAAAGAGAGGTCTTCTCTCTTGTTGAAAGGGTTAGACATTTTAGACAGCCATTTTTAGGGTTTGAGTTCTAGGGTTAGGGTTTGTCTATATCCTAACTCTATATCTCTCTTCCTCTTGTGTTTAGTGTGTGTGTTTAGGCTCACTATTACACACAAACACATAGTGTTACACCTTTTCTTGGTTCTGAAGGACCAGAGGTCTGTTCTTGGAGTTTTGGGGCTGGTTTAAGCTCAAGGAAGCAGCTGGTCCACCATTGTTGAAGAGGGTCTTCAAGGGTAAGAAACTTACCTTTATATTCTCCATTTTTGCATTGTATTTTTACCTGTCTTAAATTCGTTTTTGGGCTTGGTGTATAATACAAAAAAGTTCTGTTTTTTAAACCTCTTGATTGTTTATTAAGAGTGTTTTGTGGTTTGGAGGTATTTGACCCCTCTTAGGCCTTGAAAGGCCCCATTTTGAGCCATTTTGAGTGAGTTTCGAGACTTTGATGTTTGGGCCTCTTCACCACTGAAATCTTGAGGGATTTCAGTGGTGAAGATAGTGCCTTGAAGTCTCTAAAAGGAGAGGGCCTCCCCCTCTCCTTGTTGTCCTTGAAATGGACCATTTTTGGCCTCTTGAGGGAGCACCTAGCATAGGCTCTTGTTGACCATGCCTTAGCTGATTTTTGTGCTTATCATGTCATAATATGCCTCTTTTTTTAGTTGGTTTTGGTACACCATGCATGCTTAGCATACCTACCTTGTAATGCCATGTTTAGGCCTTAACATGCCTTAGGTTGTAAACCATTATTCTCGCATGTTTTAGGCTTGGCTTTGTGAAGTTTTTGTGCTTATTTTGCTATGTTTGAGGT